ATATATATATATATATATATATATATATATATATATATATATATATATATATATATATATATATATATATATGTATATATATATATATACTATATATATATATATATATATATATATATATATATGTATATATATATATATATACTATATATATATATATATATATATATATATATATATGTATATATATATATATACTATATATATATATATATATATATATATATATATATATATGTATATATATATATATACTATATATATATTATATATATATATATATATATATATATATATATATATATATATATATATATATATATATATATATATATATATATATATATATATATACTATATATATATATTAATATATATAAATATATATATATATATAAATATATATAAATATATATGTATATATATATATATATATATATATATATATAAATATATATAAATATATATGTATATATATATATATATATATATATATATATATATATATATATATATATATATATATATATATATTAGCTACTGTTAACAATAGCACCAGTAACTAGCAAAATGCTAGTATTTATAATAAAATATTGTTACTCAGAGTTTCATGTGTGACTATAATCATAGGTAAGTAGTAAAAAATTAATTTTGTTGCCGTTTGTTTAGTAGAACTTACAGCAAATATATATGTGTTTTAGATTGTTTATAAAAAACTACTTCTAACATTATTCTTCTGCCCCAAAATAACCAAAAATATATATATAAGCCATAACATTTACTAAACAAATCATCACAAAATTACCTTTTTACTACTTGCATAATAATTGTGGTAACACATGAAACTCTGAGTAGAAATATTCCATTATAAATATTAACATTTAGCAAATTCTGGTACTGCATAGAATATTACACATACATTGTTATCTCTAGATTTTAGTGTCTAAAAGTTTCAGTTTTTTGTTCAAAGGGCTGAAGTCTGGACTTTAGCCTGTTAAGCAAAAAACAAGAAGTTTTGCGCTGCAGACAGCTGACCAAACTCTCTTACTTTCTTGTTATGATTGTACAAATGTGTAGCTAATAAAGCTGATTTATTAAGTGTGATCATTTTAATAGTGATTTAAATTAATTAACTGCTTTTTTAATGGGTGATAGTGGCAGTGAGTCTGATCATACAAGTTCAAAAAAAAAAAGAGAAACCCAAATGGTTATAAAAGGAACAAGATTAAGAAATCTTAGTTTACTGGTGTGGCATATGAAAACCACACAGAACAAAAAGTTGATGCTAAGCCTATCAGAGATCCATGCAAGTAAGAGATAGTACACAGACAATTTTTAATTTAATAATAGGTTTATGCCAAATTGTAATAATTCATCTATAATTAATCGGATTTAGGCTCTGTGATTTGTAATTGGCCAATAGACCTAGGTTGGTGATTTTTTGTTTTGGTTGTAAATATTTGTAGGCCTTAGACAAAAGAATAAAATTTTTAAGGGAGTCTACAATCACTTAGGGTAGGGTGGGGCAAGAGGCCCAGGTGGGGTAAAAGGCCCATCCTGCAGTTATAAAGAACCTAGGTAAAATATTATAATTATTGTTTTGTAGTATGAATGATAAATGTGTAACAGTGTTGCGAGCGAATTTTGGTGAACTTTTAGTAGAAATATAATTTTTAACAGAGTATTGAAGACTTGACAGGTAATAAGAATAGGACATTTTGATTTTTTGCGTAATTTTAAAATTTTTTTGTAGATTATTGTTAAACTTAGTTGATTATTTAAATGAGTTTATGTATTTGTAAGCGTACAAATTATGTATTGATTATTTACATAATGTTCATTGTACCATAGAATAATATGTTTTTATCAATTTTTGCACCGACCATTTTGGGGCAAAAAGCCCAGTTTGTTAATGGGGCAAAAGGCCTATCCTGAGCTTTTTACCCCTTGCATTATTTAAGTAGAATGTTCAAATTTTAACTTTATTTCATTTATAGATATGGTTAGAAATTACAAAAGGAAGACAAAAAGAGGAAGTTATGGAGCAGAAGGTTTACAACGGGCTTTAGATTCAGTAAAAAATGGTATTTCTTTGCGTAAAGCTGAAAACAGTTTTGGAGTTTCAAGGAAGACATTGAGAAGGCATTTGCAGGGCAAAGTAAAACAAGTTGGGAGCAATAAATTAGGAAATCATGTGAATACTTTTTCTTTTGAAATTGAACAAGATCTTGTTAAACACATCCAAATGATGGAAAGAGCATTTATAGCTAGAAACGAAACAAGTGAACCTACGAATACAAATGAAGAAGCCGGCAATGCGGTGGATGATGAAGCATCAGTTAATGTGATGGAGACTGATAGGATTGCAACAGGAGATAGCAATGAGTCCGATGAAAATCAACTAGATAAAACAGCTGATCATCCTGGTTTATCCGAAGCATTGCAGATTATATCAGAACTAAGCCCTATTCCAAGGATAAAGAATGTACGCAGTCGCAAACGAAAAATCGAAGCAGCAACTGTAATAACTTCTAGTCCTTATAAAGCAATGTTAATTGAAGCAAATGCAAAGAAGACAAAACAGAACAAGCAAGTAGTAGTTGAAAATAATAATGAGGAAAATGATGAAGACAAAATCGATGTAATCGCAGACAAATCCAAGAGAACGAAAAGTGGAGATGACAAAGAAACCAGGAAAAGGAAGCAGTATGCGAGAACAAAATCAAAAAGGACAACCAAAAGTAACGCATCGAATGCTAACGTGATAAGAAAAGGGTCAAAAGAACGAAGATGTGTAGGTTCTGTTATTAACAGTGATGATACGCCATGTTGCATGTGTGGTAAAAGATTTAACGAACCACCCATTGATGACTGGCAGCAATGCCCAGAATGTCTCAACTGGTACCACGACAGCTGTGGTCCTGATGACACTGCTGTCTGCTTTCACTGCCAATAGGCATAATCAATTCAACTAGTCTTACTGTAGTTTTTTAGCTGTCTTTTTAGCTGTATGAATTAGTTTTTTAGCTGTCTTTTTGGGTTATGAATTATTTTTTTAGATATCTTTTTAGCTCTATGAATTAGTTTTTTTTAGCAACTTTTAAGCTCTATGAATTAGCTTTTAGCTGTGTTTTTCAGCTCTATAAATTAGTTTTTATAGCTATCTTTTTAGTCTATAAATTTTTAGGTCTTTTTAGCTCTATTAATTTTACGGTGCTGTTTGCCATTGTCATATGATAGCATATATGGTGCTACTTGCTAATATTATGGTGCTAAGTGTTCTACTAAAACTTTTGTTGGACATTTTTACACACAAATATATTGTGACTAGTAAAAAGTGTATTGTTGCAATAAATTTTTATTGTAAAAATGGAATATTTCAAGCTATTAACGTTTGGGGTAAAAGGCCCAGGGTAGGGGCGTTTTGCCCCAGCAATGGGGCAAAAGGCCCAATCTATAGCAGTTTATAAAAAGCATATTTCCATTAAAACTTGAGTAGCCATTAAGAAAATAACTTTAGATACTTAAGTTTATTATGTATCTGAAATAATGGTAACATAAATTTCTAGATACGTTTATTGGATCAGTAAAAAAAAGACGAAATTGCTTATGGTGGGCTTCTTGCCCCACCTTACCCTATTGCATATTAACTTACATCCCATTTTACATTATATTGTCCAAAATACCTGTGCAAGAGCTATCTTACCTTAGGCAGTTAACAATTAGTGTACTTTATATTCAAGATGTGAAGAGAAATGTTACAAAACTCTACCCTTACCATGAGGGGCAAGCTAGAAAGTTTTCCAATGAAACTTGCTCCTTTCTTTTGCACTATCTGTTTATCTGGGAAAAAAAAAAAACATTGTTTTCCAAACTTTTTATAGCGCTTACTGACAATTAATGGATTAAAAAGGTCAACCCATTTTTCCCAATTAGAGGGCACAGCTTTTTGCCGTTTGACCATGATTACTCAATTATAAGAAGAGAGTGAAGAAGGCATAACAGAGTTACAAGTCTTCAAGAAAAAAAAAGTTATATTAAAAAATAGTAATCAAAGAAAGTTTTTAGTAGTTAATGTAGAGAGTTTATCTCTAGTTTATGATGTTAAAAGTTAGTGGCCAGTCCACTATAATAGAAATATTACCTCAGTTGTTACCTTATAGTCAAAATAATGAGTAAACCCAGAAACCAACAAACTCAGTTTGCTATAAGCAAATTTCAACATTTTCAATACGATAGCAACATTATTGGTTAATATAAAGCCAGCGAAATTATTAATGGTATTGTCAAACATACTATCAAAATGAGAAAAAATACTCAAGAAATTGTGAACTTGCCAGAACGGCTTATTTACCCAAACAGAAAGGTTCCAAGAATGACTTAAGAAAGTATATTAAGTATATTTCATATGACCATATTGACTTTTATAATGAACTACTGCAATTTATATCAGCAATCTGACATCATACAGATAGGGAACTACAAGGGCTTCAGTACATACAATGGCTGATTTAGGACATGCTAGGGATAAACTTTTTTTGTTGTTTTTTTTTGTTGTTCTGAAAAATCCATATGAAAAAAAGGTTATCAAATGCATATCTATATGGGTTATAGTATATATCTATATATGTATATATCTATACCCTTAAATATATGTATATCTATATGTATATATATATATATATATATATATATATATATATATATATATATATATATATATATATATATATATATATATATATATATATATATGTATATATCTATATCCTTAAAAATATATATATATATATATATTTATATATACTAGCAGTAAGCAACCCGTAATATGGGTTTTTAGTAAATAAAATTAAAAAAACCGCGTATAGAAAAGTCTAGAAACTACTTTAAAATAGAAAAGCCTAGAAAATGACGTAAGTCAACTATTAACTACTACTATTAAATTAGCGTATTAATTTATATATATACACACACATAATAAATGTAAATAAACAAAAAACCTGGTTGAATAACATTTTTTATCACAAGTTCAATCTCTTTGAATAGTCTATTTGAAAATGGAAATTTGCATTGAAATGATTCTTCCAATTCATTAGATATTTGAATACTGGAGCAATTTGTTTTTGAAAATAATTTAAGCCACAAATCAGTATAGTCTGGCTGCTTGAAAAGTATTGACAAATTACTGAAACAATCAATATTTGACATAATAGAAGAAAGAATTGGAACAATTCGATCTTGAACATAATAGCGTAAAGCTTGTTGAAAGGTACCATAATCTTTAATATACTTTTGTTCAATAGCTTCATAATGTACCCAGTTATTTATAAAATCGGGCAACATATTATGTTCTTCTTTTTTTAAGTTATTTTGTATCATCTGCATGATGGTAGTAACAAATAAATACTTCATATCTACAAAAATTAAAACAGATTAATAATTATAGATTTAACAAACAATTATCTCTAAATTAGCCTTATTATAAATGCATAATAAATATAAAATGTGTTAGGCAGGTTCTTTTTTATAGGTTTAAAAAACTACAACTTTGCCACTTTACTTTCCCATTTTATGCTGTTATACACTTCACTAAAAAATTCTAATTTTTCTAAACTGTTTCATATCCTTTAAGTCTCAGCTATTACTTTTTCATTAAAGATAAATACTGAAACTTTTAAGTTTCAGTATTTATCTTTAATGTCTATCAAGTTTCAGTATTTATCTTTAATGTCTATCAATAATTATCTTTAATGACTATCAAGTTGTTATCAGAAAACCCAGTTGTTCTGATAACAACTTGATAGTCAGTTATTCTGTTTTTTCAGAATGACTGACTATCAGTAAAAATGTTTTTCAGCATTGCTAATAAATTTCATTATTAACCATTACAGATCATATTTTTTCACCATCAACTACCAATAAAAATTTTCATAGTGATTTTTTTTTACTTTTCAAAATGTAATAAACTATAGATATTTGTGGCAGAAATTATAGTCTGCATTTTCCCTTTATTTGGAAGTACCAAAAAATTATGAAGTTGATCATAGCTGTTTTTATAAAAAGGTTCAATTGCAAATCTACAACAAGTTTTTGTTGCACAAATTTAAATTGTCTTGTGATAAAATTTAGTTTCCTTTGCGTAATAACATTATTAAGTTCAAATTCATTATATGAAAAAATTTTTTCACCTTTTCAATTAACAATCAGATTATGATTATAAACTAAATTTTAAGCTTAAAATTGTAAAATTAAAAACTGTAGAAAATCAAGTAATTGTTTGGGCTTAATATAAAGTACACTTTGCACAAAAAATTATTGTCATTCTTTTGGAAATTTTTTGAATTTAAATTTTTTTTCTTGTCAAGATTTTTTTTTAAACATTTTCATAATGTCCTAGCCAAGCAGCTTTAAATTTTGCATAAATAGATACACTTTTGTTTTGGTGCTACATTTATTACATGGTACCAAAAAAAATTTTTAATTATAAAACTATAACTTTAAACTTTTTTATATATACATCGAAACATGACAACCCTTGGTTGTAGATAATACTAGATCATGGAAGTTATGTAAAGTTTCTGAAAACTCTTCAACTTAAAAGAATGTTTTTGAATGTTCTAGAAGTATCCCTATCTAGAAAGTATTAGAACCTAAGGTGTATGAACATGGTACACAGTAGTTTATTTGGTACTTTTTGTTGACATAATCTACAGTATGGGAAAATAATATGATAATATTTTAGCTCAATTTTTGAAACTCTATCCCTGAAGAATACTCCAGGGAGCATATCATAACTCTAGGACATCAAAAGAATACACTGTAAAGCACACTAAAAAAGATATTTATAAATTTTTCTTAGATATAGTCACAGTACATGTTATTAGCTCAATACTTCAGGAATAATCCATTAAAAATATGTCTATGATTATATAGTAACTGTAGATTTACTAAGAATTACTTAGTGTTATAGTAACTGCAGACGTAACTGTTATAGTAACTGCAGACGTAACTGCAATTACTATAACAGTTTTATGTTATAGTTATTTTATTATTCAGATGTATTTTTATTGCTGATCAGTAAATGTTTTTTTTTTTGGAGTCAAACCACCTTAATATTATTATAGCATGCTTTATCCTCTAAAGATTCTAAAACATAAAAGTATTACATTCAGGGAAGAGCAATATCGAAACTCTGAGTTTACTTAAAGGCAGCTCATGGTTTAAATGGAGAAAGAGTCAAATTAAAATACTAAGTCTCTTTCTTTATTTAACAACTTATGATTGAAGATGGAACTATAGTTAAATTGTTGAACACAATAAAAATATCATGTTGAAGTAAACATTGTGGCTTATAGTTTACACAAAAAGACTTTAATTATTTATCAAGGTCTTGGAGGTGCATATTGTAATCTATACAATCTTTCAAAAGAAAAATGTGACCAAATACAGCAGATGGTTTCATAATATCAACAGGGATATTAAGTCATTAAGTCTATGCAACAAATATTTCTTGACTTACTTAAAGAAGATGGAACAAAAAAAAAATAATAATTTGACACCGTTAAACCAATTGTATGTTCAAATGTTAGGTCCATTCAAATTTTACATGCTTTGCTCAAAGGCTTTATTAAGGTAGTTGTCAGTATGGCTACAGGTGTCATAGCTTGAACAGAATCCAAAACAAACATAAACATAAGATTGTTGAAAGAAGAAAAAGCAAAATAATAAGAAACTATCAGAGTAAAAACAGAAATAAAATGCAATTTTGCAGAATTTATTGTACAATGAGGAAAAATACAACAACTGGAAATTTTTTCCAGAAAGTTCTACATAACAATCTAAACCAAAACGCTTATGTTGCACAGAAATCCATCAATTTATGATATTATAAACAACCTTTTTCTTTAAGAATAAATTTCTCTTGTGAAACATGCACAACTGTTAATTTTTCAAAACCAAGTCCTTTGACTTTAACCTCAAGGTTAAAAACGTTTTTTAAAAACCGCTATTTAGGGCCTATTTAGCTTTTGAAAACTGTTTAGTTTATGGTTTAGTAACGATATTTTTGAGATGACTGATATGATCAAAAACTTTAATATCATTTTTATGATATCCAATATCTTCCTAAAATACTATTATTTAATAGTCAGAAAAATTTATTCCAATGCAGGCTCTTTTTTTTTTCATAACTATGCAGACTCTTTTTTTTATGTATAAACAACAATTTTTTTCTTCTAAACTGTTCAACTTTGGGTTGTTGCGACTTTTTAAACAGACAAAATTTTATTTTTATTATTATCTGCATACCATTTTAGTTTAAGAAAATCAAGTTAAACTTCATTTTTAAAACATTAAACATTTATACTCATGATCACTATTTAACCTACTGTGTAGAAAGGTTTATACATCTATTAGACCAAAACGGATGGCAAATTAACTGCTCATAAACCTAGTGATGCAAAAAAAAAAAAAAAAAAAAACAATTGCAGCCTGATACATTAAAAAAATGTACACAAAGATGGATTCATCTAGTTTTAATTGAGAGATTTTCCAGAAACATTTTTCCATACTATCAAGATTGCTTTTTGAGACTCTTGTACATTCAAGATTGTTCCCCTAGAGTCAGAAACATTACTATCTCAACTATTATTTATGTAGCTGTTAATGAGGCAAAAAGCCATCTATGATAAAGCTCCACTGAAACTTATGAAAAGAAAAACTGCTTATGACAAAGTTGTGTTTATTTACAATGAGTGGACCTCCCTGAAAAGATATTTAAAAAAACAAAAAAACAAACAAATAACAATTGAAAAGAATTCAAAGAAAAGTTGGTTATGGACATAACTTCTTGAAAAAACCAAAGTGATTAAAGTCAATCTGTTGCCTTAAGGAAAAATTATACTGAAATTTTACTGGATCAAAGATCAGTTAGAAAGATGTACTAGGGAGCAGGAACTGACAAAAGAGCATACAGAGAAAAAGAATCAGAAATAAAAAACTTTAAATTCAGAAAGACCAAGAGCAAAAAAAAATGATTATCAACCAAATGTTTCATCAAGAAATGCAATATGAGATAGAAGAAAATTTTGAAACAAATAATGAAAAAAATAAATTAACAAGACTTTAGTCCAACTTCCAAATTAAAAAAATCTATAATTTCTTTAACTTTTCTAAGAGATACTTTTGATGACCCTGAAATTGTTGCAGCAGCTGATCAAGCTGAAATTTCCAGCAATCAAATAATTTTTCATCGAGTCTGTCTCCGTAGGAAAGTAAAGTAGGAATCTCAAATGATAATCTATCTATTTGTAAAACAACTATGGTACACATCTGCAAGAAATTTAGAAAAGATGAAGCATTACACACTGGGGAGAGATTTATCTAATAGAGATTTTAGAAAATTTTTTGCAACTATTGAAGAAAAGCTATTAGACTGACTTGCTTTGAAACTTTCAGAAACACAAAATGTCTACAAAGTCTACAAAGAATCTCTTGATTCATTGTTAACAATGTCTACAAAGAAATTCTTGATTCTTGGGATTTAAAAGATTCTTGGAATTTAAAACTTGAAATCAGAAAAAGTTGACTTTTTAAAAAAATAAAAATACATTCGCAGTTTGCAATATTGGAATGTTGAAAAAACAACTCTTGATACTTGCTTCGATGCAACAGCAACACTGGATAAATTCAAGGCCTGCATGAATAGAAATGAAGTCATAGAAATGCACCATAATAGAAATACTCAATTTTGCTTGCAGATATCATTTCCATGACACCATGATCAAAGAAGTTTTAGACTTGTTGTATTGAAAAGATGTTGCTTAGTTTTTAATTGTTCAAGAGCCTGCAAACCAAGTTTAATTGATCAAGAGTCTGCAAACCAAGTGGAATGAAGTTAGCTAAACAAGTAGAAGAGGTTTTGCTCCACCTAAATTTCAAGACAATATCTAACAATAAAGAAAAGTATTGTGTGCAGTTTTGTCATAGATCAAGTCTCAGATCAGGCAAAGCAACTTAGAAGTGACCACCTTGAGACTTGCAAAATAACAGCAATTTTACTTAGAAAAAAATCACTAGATATGTTTGTTTTCTATAAAACTGGTGCTTTCCACATAGCTATTCTTCTGTACAATACAAAAATTTTCGTTCCAACATCAGTTATACTACTGAACAGACTTTCTGCCAAACTTGAAAGATTTGTCCAGATTGCTTTTGTGATATATGTCAAAAACTGGCTTACCTACACCAATACTGTTAATGTACCAATCAATGACTTGAATCTGATTAAGATTAAAGATTTTATCTACCTCTTTGTCAATTTATTAAGAACAAATTGACAATGAGGTAGATGAAAGAGTTTTGACTGTCATTGGAAGACATACCTGATACCTTACAGGAGACATGATACCAATAGCGTATTTCTATTCTCAAAAACTAATAAAGAAAAAATCTGAAATATCTAGAAAATAATTATCAGAATAATAACATATATTAAGGACTTACACACTAAAAAAAAAAAAGAGTAACAAATCATTAATTTTTATACAATTTTCAGGAGAGACGTTGTGCTATAAAAATTATATTTTACCCAAGTCATCACAGGAGTAATGTCTCCTAGAATGGTTTTGGGGGATTGAGGTGACTGCCTAAACTTTTATTATATATATATATATATATATATATATATATATATATATATATATATATATATATATATATATATATATATATATATATATATATATATATATATATATATATATATATATATATATATATACATATATATATATATATATATATATATATATATATATATATATATACATATATATATATATATATATATATATATATATGTATATATATACATATATATATATATATATATATATATATATATATATATATATATATATATATATATATATATATATATATATATATATATATATATATATATATATATATATATATGTATATTATATATATATATATATATATATATATATATATATATATATATATATATATATATATATATATATATATATGAAAAAATAAGAGCATAAAAACCTTTTGGATGAGACTTTAAAAGTTCTGTAATTTTATCAATTCTTTTAGAGACTTCATTGATATTCATTTTTTTTCTTTCACTTATTTGTCGTGTTGCCATTTGAATACATCCAGTAATAAGCTCAATAAGTTTTAATTTTTCTTCATCATTTACATTACAGAAAATGTCATGTAACGATTTACCAGTTTGTTTAATAAACGATGGCATACTTGAAGAGCAAAGCTCATCAATATGAAAACTGTCCCAAAATGATACAGAACTCAGTAAGTTGAAACAACTAGATTTATAATTCAGTTGCAAGATAAAAAGAACTGATATCTTCTTTCCTTTGAACTGATCTCGCATTTCTTTACAAATGTATTGCGCACATGCAATTAACTTTTTATTTTCTTGTGCATTATTAACTTGAATAATAATGAGAGTTCTTGCATTGGTGCTTGAATTGTTTGCTGAATTAAATGAAACTCTGAAAAAAATGATTCAACTTTACAAGTTAAATAAACCTGGAACAATAAATCATATAATTTTAAACACAATCTATTCAACATAAATCAATATATACTAATATGTATTGATATGTAAATATATGTGAGTGTATGTGTGTGTGTGTGTGTGTTAACGATATATATACATATACATGTATATATATCGTTATCCTTGCATATTTTTAGATAAACTTATACATTTTGCATGCTTAAAGTTTAAAACGCTGACTAAAATCCAAACAGTTTTTCAAAAGTAAAAAAAAAAAGTCAAAGTCCACATCCTCCATAAATGAATGTATTAAAGCCTATGCAGCTTTAACACCATTCATGACATTATATGTGAAGCTAAGTATGCAAAGATATTTGTATATATATACATATATTTATATATACATACACATTCATACATACATATATATATATACATATATATATATATATATATATATATATATATATATATATATATATATATATATATATATATATATATATATATATATATATCTTCACTTCCAACAAGGCTGCAAGCAAACACTAATTGGAGTTGAAAGCTACTGAAAGAGAAAAGATGAAGTTTTTAGAGCAAGATAACAATTGACAGACGACTTAAAAGATTGCAAATTATATGAATCAGGAAAGCAAGATGGAGGAAGCAAATTCCAAAAAACTGGTATTCTAGGAAAAAAACTAGAGGAATAAGAGTTTTTGAGGCATTTAGGAACAGTCATAGAAAAAGGATGGGACTTAATTGAATGACGAGTAACACGAAAATAAAGTTTAGTAGATTGCACAAGCGACACTAGCTCTTTAGAGCAGTGCCCATTATAGTATTTGTAGAACAGAGAAGCAACATAACAACAATGTCATAATGGCTGAAGCTTGGCTGCAAGAGCAAGTCTAACTATGTTTACAATGCGTTTTTGCACCTTGTTTAAAAGAGAGAGGGCATCATTAGAAGATCAGCCCCAAATATGGCAACATTATTCCATACAATACTGTATTTGAGATTTATAGAGATAGAGAATAGAGTTTGGAGTAAGAAAGTGTTGAGTTCAATAAATAGATGCAACCTTAACAGATGATAATTTTGCAACGGATCTGATATATGGTTTCCAAGAAAGATCGGAAGTAAGAGTTAACCCTAGAAGACAAATGGTAGATGACTCATCGAGTACATTACCATTCATAAATATAAGGTTTAAATTATTGCAATAAGGATTGGCTGAAAAAAATTGAGTTTTATCTGAATTAAAATTCACCAGCCAATGTGAGCCCTATGTTGACTCTAATAAGCACTTGTTGAATAGTTTTAAAAGTATAGAAGACAGATCCAGAGAACACTTTTGCAAGACTATTACAGGAATGTTGTCCAGGCCACAAGCTGGAAAAGAGTCTAAGCAGGAAATCACTTTAGATACAGAAGCTGGAGTGATACGAATGTCAAGCAATGGATCAACCTGTTTCAAGTAGAATGCAATAAGTAGAATCAAGAGATAATATTGATGAAAAGTTCTTAGCAAACAACTCAGCTTTGTCTTTAGATGAGGTGACAAAGTCTAAACCATACAAAAGAGGTGGAATTACAGATTTGATCTTATTATTGATACTATTTAAGATTCTCAAAAAATCACGAGAGCCTAAATTTTGTGATGAAATACAAGATTTCATGACATGAGAACAGCTTTGGTGTTAGACAAAATCTTTCTATAGTTTCTAGCAGTAATAAACAGACATCTGTTTTGTGGAGAATTGTTTTGCTGATAGATATGGAAATAATGGTTTCAATTGGAAATTGGGGCAGCACAATGTGAGGAAAACCATGGAGAATAGTGAGGCTTGACTTAGAATCATAGAGAGGGAATAAAAGATTCCATGACAGCCTGAATCCACGAAGTTATGTAAGAAGCACATTTGTTAACAGGGAGGCAAAAGATTTCTACCCAAGGGCCATTACGAAGAAAATCAGTCCCAGTCAGCTTTAAAGTAGTTGTAAGATGTGCAATGATAGGATGATTCAGATGATGAAGAAGAATGAGATAATATTTTTAGAGAGATCAAACTGTGATAAAAAGCACCTAAGGGTGAATGTGGAGAAACTGAACACTGAGTAGGATCAAAAACAAGACATAAGTTGAGTAGAGAAGGTAAATGATTCGAGTTATCTGGAGAGCAAGTTGGAAAGTTGACTATTTGAGTTAGGGATTGAGAAAGACAAAAGTTGTGGGCTTTAATGCCTGCAGAGTCACTGACACTAGAACCACGCCATTCAGTGTGATAAACATTGAAGTCACTGACAACAACAATATTAGCTGATGGATAAAGAGACAGGGCTTGGTCAATATGTTCAGAAATAACATCAAGAAGAGTGCAGTCTTGAGATGAGGGAGAGCGATATAAAACAAAGAGAAAGGTGATAAAGTGAAGTGGTGCTAAACGAAAGCACATAAAAGAATAGCCTGTGGATTCAAACCTAGTTTCCCGAAAAATGGGTGAATTCTAACGAATGTAAATGCCCAGGCCAAGCATGTGACTATTGGAGTTTTAACAAATTAAAGGAAGATAACCATCAACACTAAGATCACAAGATGAGATAGCTGAACTCAAATTAGTCTCACAAAGAGCAAATAGGTCTGGTGAACTTTGCAAGAGATAAGACTTAACAGAAGAAAATTTGCTTTAAAGAGCACAAATATTTGTGAATGATAGGTTTAGAGAACTTCGTGATGGAACTGTTTTTTTGTGCTTTTTACTTTTTTTACTTTATTCATTTTTAAATTAATTGAAGATCTTGACTCAAAGCATAGATAGTACTCAGTGCACTATTTAATAGTAGAAGCAATTGCCTCATTACTATAAATAAACCCTAAACTATAACAAAGGGTTCCAAATATGGCCTTGACAATGCACACCAAAAGTAAAAACAGGGACACCATCCATGTGTTGTTAATAATTTGATATTTTTCAGCTGTTGATGGAATCAACCTCTCGGAGAACTTCCACAGAGTTCAAGAATACTGACTATCAGCCGGCCTCAGAACCATAAAACTGAGTTTTAGAGCTGTACCCTCATTTGGAGATAGTAAAATGAGTTGCCTAGCCATAAAAACAGAGACACAAGCAAAACCCATGCATTGAGTCAAGATGATCCAGCATTCAACATTCTAAACTGGAAACAATGTATTAAAAATACATCTGCGCCAGCCTAATAGATAAAGAAGGGGTACGAGGCTGGTCAAGATATAGAATCTGTTAACCCCTTAAATATATGTATATACAGTATCGGACAAAACAAGTACAACCATATAATATTAATTTAGTTTCTTTATATAAAAGTGATGCATTTTTTCAATTTAGAGAAATAACTATGTTATTGTTTAGGGACAACATTCTTCAAGTTTTATTTATCACAAAGTTCATTATTTGTACAGGAAAATGAATAAACTAATCAAAAGTATTAAAAATTTTTTAATACTTTTGATTAGTTTATTCCTTTTGAACAAAGCAAGTGCAAATCCACAAAATGTTGACCAAGCTATATTTTGCTATCAATATTTTGTGGCGAATTCTTTGTTGTCAATCACAGCCTTGGATTTTTGAGGCATTTATTCGATCAGGTGATCAATGAAACTTTGTGGAATCACTGCCCAGGCCTATTGGATTTGTTCAAACTGTTGATCCTTATTACAAACACCTTCACAATTACTTCTGCGGTTGACGATCTCCCACAGGTTCTCGATTGGGTTAAGATCTGGAGATTTAGGCGGCCAATCCATCACCGATAGGTGGTTGTCTTGAAACCACTGCTTAACTACTTTTGCAGTGTGATTTGGATTGTTGTCTTGCTGAAAAACCCATTTTATTGGCATATTCCATTCAGCATGAGGTAACATAACATCTTTCAGGATATTTTCATACATGAAACGGTCCATTAATCCATCAATTTGATGTATTGGACCTAGACCGTTAGCAGAAAAACACCCCCAAACCATTACATTGCCTTTATCATGCTTCACGGTCTTATGTAATGTAAACGACTTACATCTTTATATATGTATATATATATATATATATATATATATATATATATATATATATATATATATATATATAGAGAGAGAGAGAGAGAGAGAGAGATGTAAGTCGTTTTTTTTGGTTCTTGTTTTTTTTGCCAAAAAAACCAAGGGCTTCTTTTTTCAATTTTTTTGGTTTTTTTGGTATTTTTAAACAAACCACTAAAAGTAACTTCAACTTTGAGGTGATATATATTTAAAGACATTTCTATTTCTCTATTTACCATTATCATGAATAAAAGTATTGTTTTTTTAAAATTTTGATCAAATAATATCAGCCATAGTTCTCCAATTTCTAACTATAAGTTCTTCAGTTGCTCATTAAACAGTTTCAGTAATTGTTCTTAAATTACCTACTTTACTATTTCATATTACGTTAAAAATAAAATATAAAAATAAAAGAAAAAAAGATCATTTAACAAATCTTTTTTTAATAAAATATAGTAGCAATATAACAGAGAAAACTTTTTTGCCTTTTTAACGCAGAAATGTTTTTTGAGATAAGAATTATTTTCTTTAACAAATTTTTCCTCAAAATTAAAAACACATTTATTTAATAGAATGAATGAGAAAAAAGTTACTTTTGCTAATAAGTAAAAAGTTACTTTTTTGACCCCAAACAATACAACAATAGCAAAGATGAGAAAAGAATAAAGAAGAATACATTATTTCAAGAGTTTGGATAGGAACATAGTAACAAATTAGAAAAAGCATACTGTTAGCTTGTGTACATTTTTTTTCAAAATGATATAGTTGGTTATACCAAGATAGGTTTTCATCAAGATATAATCCAAGATAATTAATATATTTTGACAGAAAAAGTTTTTTTCCGTTAATTCTAGTTTTATTATTATCAATAGTTTTTTGAGGGAAATGAAAAATAATGTATTCAGTTTTATTGACATTCA